GGGATCCCTGCTGGGGGGCCCAGGAAATTGGGCAGGGGAAGAGGGAGGGACCAGCCTTCAGCTTGGGTTCGGGAGGGCGGAGGTGCGCGGGGTTGGTTTGCTCCTCCTCTAGTTGGTGACTGCACGTCCTCTCCCCCGCAGCTGGGGATGTTCGTGCTGCAACTCGGCGTCCTGTCCACCTTTTTGTCCGAACCTGTTGTTAAGGCGCTGACCAGCGGGGTCGCGCTGCACGTGCTCGTGTCCCAGCTGCCGAGCCTCTTGGGGTTGTCCCTCCCGCGCCAGATCGGCTGCTTCTCTCTCTTCAAGGTGGGGGTGGGAGAAGAAAGGAGAAGGGGCTTCTAGAGGTCCCGGGATTAGGGAAATTCGAAAAGGGAGGAAGGACGGAGGGTGGAGGGGTAGTGTGTGACAAGGGCGCAGGAAAGGAAATTGATTGGAGCCACGTGGCTGACCGAGGGCGCTGCGGAGGTAGAAGCCCTGGTGGCACTGGGGAGAGAGGGCCTCGCTCTGGGGGGCCCGCGCCGGGGCGCATGAACCCTGGCAAGGGGCCCTCTGCTCACAGCCCCTGCCCGCAGACGCTGGCCGCCGTGCTGACTGCGCTGCCCCAGAGCAGTCCGGCCGAACTGACGATCTCGGCGCTCAGCCTGGCGCTGCTCGTGCCGGTCAAGGAATTGAACGTGAGATTCCGAGACCGGTTACCCACGCCGATCCCGGGGGAAGTCGTCATGGTGAGGATGGCCGTGCGCGCCGGTCCCCTGCCCGCACAGACCCTGCGGTCCTGTGGGAACTGGCCGCTGCCGCCCCCTGGTGGAGTGCAGAGAGGCCACGGAACAGAGGGCCAGCTCACACTCACTTTCCCTGGCCTCCAGCAGGAGGATGCTTTGACCTTCCACAGTCCCCCTCGTCACTGTCCCACGTCTCTCACGGAGCACCCCCTACACCTCTTGGAGTTCCTTCTACCATCCTAAAGCGCTCCCTTGAGGTCTTGCTGGTCACAGCACCTTCTCTGACACCTGTCCTCACCAGGGTCCTTCCCTGTAATTCACAGTGCATCTTCCTCTCCACCCTCCACTGACATTTCTCTCTCTACCCCACTAAATAAACGTTCCGTGTCTCCACAGATGCCACTATATCACTAGATATCGTCCAGCTTCCCTCTTTGGAAGGCTCAGTGGCATCTCTTCATATCCACCATCTTTGGTGGCTCCAGCGCTCTGTGGCCTCAGGCATATGTCATCCCTCTTTCCCAGCTCCACACTCCAAATCAGTTGTCAAGCCCCCATCCCAAACACATCCCTGCTCCCCCAGGTGCTGGGCTCCTGCAACCAGCTAGACCTGCATTATGGTCCTCTCTCATGGTCAGCCCCTTCTAGCTTCTGCCAGGGACCCCATCTCTTCCCATGCCTTCATTTTGCTCTCTTTCTCAGGTGCTTCTGGCCTCCGTGCTCTGCTTCACCTCTTCTCTGGACACAAGATACCATGTCCAGATAGTGGGGCTGTTGCCTGGAGGGTAAGACAGAATGAAAAGACGCCAGCTTTCTCTTCTCCCACCTCTCCCACCTAACACTTCTTATCTCCACCCCCCATTTTCTTTGCTTTCCTTATCTCACTGAAGCACCCAACTCCTCCTCACCATGGATCCCTCCCTCTCCAGATTTCCCCAACCCCTCCTCCCCAACCTGGCTGAGCTGCCCAGGATTCTGGCTGACTCGCTGCCCATCGCACTGGTTACTTTTGCGGTGTCTGCCTCCCTGGCCTCCATCTATGCAGACAAGTATAGCTACACTATTGACTCCAACCAGGTAGGACTCTGACTGTGGACCCCAACCCTCTCATTTGACTTCCCACCATGCCTTTGTCTCTCCCACTTCATCTCACTGCATCCCTCCAGGAGCTCCTGGCACATGGTGCCTCCAACCTCATCTCCTCCCTCTTCTCTTGCTTTCCCAACTCGGCTACGCTGGCCACCACCAGTCTACTGGTGGATGCTGGTGGGAAAACACAGGTAAGAGAGCATCCTTGGATGCGGAGAAAGGATGGGCTATCCAGCCAAAGTGGTGGTGCTGGAGAAACAGGTGGAAGATGGTTAGATACCCAGGTGGCACCTATATAGAGAAGACTGGGGATCTGTGAGAAAGGGTGAGCAAGGGGATGGAATTATAAATAGGAGAGATGGAAGATAACAATGTTCCAGTAAGACCTTTGTAGGCTCTAAGCACTGAAAAAGTTTATGGTGCCCCAGATATGGTTCAAAATAAAAACACAAAACTATAAAATAAACTTGAGATAAAATTATTTTTTTCACACAATGACATTGTCTTTTTAAAAGGAATATCACATATCAAAGTCTCCCCCTAATATTTTTGGTTTCCCTTACTTTGCTGGTGCCCTAAGCACGTGGTGAGCCTGCTTATAGGGTAACCCAACAGTGGCTTTTAAGGTGGAGGTGGGCTGCAAAACTGGGGAACTTGAACCACAGACATCTACAGGGAGACTGGTGAATAATGGGCATTTAATTAATTGGGGGGAGGGGAGGATTAGATGTGAACGGCAGAATATTAAGAAGGGGGATGTGTGGAAGGAGATTTGGGAGAAGGGAGACTTCCGAGGAAGATAAGGCAGAGTGGGCAGGGAGACCAGCTCTCATGTGGGGGTGGGAGACTCCCTTCCTTTTTTTGCTCCCGTCCCTCCTTCCCTCTAGCTGGCAGGCCTCTTCTCCTGCATAGTGGTCCTGTCAGTGCTGCTGTGGCTGGGGCCCTTCTTTTACTATCTGCCCAAGGTAAGGAGCAGAGGAGGCATGAGCATGGCTGGGAGGGGTGGCTGTATTCCAGGACATCGAGGTAGTCAGCCCACCTTCTCTGCCTCAAGGCTGTCCTGGCTTGCATCAACATCTCCAGCATGCGGCAGATGTTCTTCCAGATGCAGGAACTTCCACAACTATGGCACATCAGTCGTGTGGACTTTGTGAGAAATGCCATTACCCCCAGATGGCCCCCTCCCATCTTCTTAGCATCCCCAGCCTCTGCCCTGAACCAAAGCTAACTGTCCTGGTCCTAAGTTCTGCAACCCACCCACTCCCCCAACAAATGTAACTCCTAATACGCTTTACTCACAGGCAAGGGAGAGGATGGGGTTTGAACCCCTTGGACCTGAATATTTGTAACTTCCCAACTGGTGCAGGTCATTACATTTGGTGTGTGTCCCATTGAATCAACCTGTTCTTTCCCTCTGTCATGCTTTCTGCTTCTTCCTGGGTCATCTCTCCCCATCACTTGCCTTGGTAATCACTGCCCTGGATCTCTTTCCCCAGCAGTGATGGCTTGCCTTTTCTTTTGGGCAATCCACCCTTATCCCTGTCCTGCAGGCTGTGTGGATGGTCACCTGGGTGGCTGTAGTGACCCTGAATGTGGATTTGGGCCTGGCTGTGGGTGTTGTCTTCTCCATGATGACTGTGGTCTGCCGCACCCGGAGGTGGGCATAGAGATGAGTGGAGTTGAGGTCAGGGCAGGGGAGAGAATGAGGTGCTTGGGGTGACTCTCCAGCCAGGACAGGCTAAGCTGGAAATCTGGCCCCACCTTCTTCCCTAGGGTGCAGTGCCTGGCACTTGGACAGGCGGAGGGAACAGAGCTCTACAGGCCACTCAGAGGAAGCCACAAGGTGGGTGGGCTGCAGCCAAAGAAGGAAAGGAAGATTAGCCCCAGATGTTTCTCTGACCCTCTGACCTCTTAGCTCCTCCAGGTCCCAGGGCTCTGCATCCTGAGCTATCCAACACCACTGTACTTTGGGACCCGTGGGCAGTTTCGCCGCAACCTGGAGTGGCACCTGGGGCTTGGAGAAGGAGAAAAGGTGAGGGAGCTTGGTTTAGGAGGAATGTGGATCCTCGGGGAGTGGGAGGCAGGTGGGCGTTCTGAGGGGGATCCTTGTGCTCAAGGGGTGCATGTTCATGCTGTGTCTCGGTTGTGGTGACTGCCCTTCTTTACTCATAGGAGACTTCAAAGCCAGATGGCCCAACTGTTGCAGGTAAGATGGGGTGACAAGAAGGAAGATTTGGGCATGTTGCATGGTGGCACCTGGGTACTCCTGTCTTCTCCCATTCTAGTTGCTGAGCCTGTCAGGGTGGTGGTCCTAGACTTCAGTGGTGTCACCTTTGCAGATGCTGCTGGGGCCAGAGAAGTGGTGCAGGTGAGGGAGAGGGCAGGTTGAGGAGAAACCCCTTAGCATCTCACTCATACCCTCTGATCTTAACCCCTTTGCCCCATCCCTGCAGCTGGCCAGCCGATGTCGAGATGCTAGGATCCGCCTCCTCCTGGCTCAGTGTAATGGTGAGATGTGTGAAGAGCGGGACCCAGTGTCTGGGCAATGACTGGACACCTGCGGGAGGGAAAAGGACCCAGTGTGGACTTAGGGTCTCAGAGCCTGACACCCTCCCCACATAGCCTCGGTGCTGGGGACACTGACTCGGGCAGGACTCCTGGACAGGGTGACCCCAGATCAGCTGTTTGTGAGTGTGCAGGATGCAGCTGCTTATGCCCTGGGGAGCCTGGTAAGGGGCAGTAGCACCAGGAGCGAGAGCCGGGAGGCACTGGGCTGCGGCAAGTGAGGCAGGGGTAAGTGGCTGGAGACTCAGGGAGAGGGGTTTGGGAAAGGGTCTGCGGAGGAAGATCAAGAAGAAAAGGGTGGGGATGGAATGAATAGTGGATTGAAGACCAACTCAGGGAGCCCAGGCTGAGCTATGGGTGAGGAACTGAAGAACTCAGATCCCTAAGCAGGTGGGGTACCCCTGAGAGGACTGCCACATTTCATCAAGGGAGAGGGTGCCTAATCTATTCCTGACATGTCTCCTCTCGTCTCCAGGAGCTCACTGACCCAAAGATTTGCACAGTGTGGGTCTGACCTCATCATGTGGAGTGCAGAGGGCCCCGATGACATGTGTGTGATGAGGACCATGACCTTGAGCTCCCTTACCTAACGTAACTAATAAAATGAAGCTGAGAGCTTTGGAATCCAGGAAGTGAGTCTAGGTGTTTGCACAGGGACTTTGGTGCTCCGTCTTTTGTGCCCACAGCATTGCAGAGACACAACTAAGAATGGCTTTCACCATGTGTTCGCTGGCCCTCACCCCAGCCCCAGTGCCACAAGTTATCTCTGTGAGGGTGGGGCTGGAGCAGGTACACAGGGTACTGGATCTGAAGATGCGGGTGAGGGGTAGTCTTGGGATTATGTGTTGGGGAACTTCCCCACCCCCTCAGTCCCAAGAAGATGAGAGGACAGTGTTTCCACCTTAGGTTCTTAAGAGTCCCCCTGGGCTCTTTGGCACTTGGAAAGTGATCCCCCCATTTCCTGCCCCATGAGAATGGGGAGGGGGAGGACTTGGCACTGGCTGTGGGAGAGGTTATGGCTCCACCAGGCCTCTGGGCACTCGAAAAAGGAGGGGTGTCACCAGGACAACCCCTATTGGGCATAAGGTTCTGAAAAAGAAGAGTGAGGAACTAGAGGCTCAGGGACTGCCAGTAGAGTGCTCACAGGGTGGGTGGGGTTTGTTGGAAATTCCTGGCAGGGACAAGGAGGCAGGCCCAGCCTGAGAGTCAGAAATCCCCTGCGGGCCATCACTGGGAGGTCATGCACTGCAGCCGGTGTTTGAAGAAGAGCAGCCGGTGTTTGGCCATCTGGCTCTCATCCAATGATCCTGGATAACGGTACCGGGCATAAGTCTCTGCCCCGGCATCCCTTGATGTCCAAGGCAGCTTCAATTTGGATGCATGATCCACCACGACGTCGGAGCAGGAGCCAACCCGAAGGGAACCAAGCCCATCCAAGAAGAATTCTGGGGGTGGAGGGGAGTACACAGTGAGGGATCCCAAGGGTGCAGAAGGCCGACCGGTAAGGGAGAACTCTCAAATTTAGGGTGTGGAAAGTGTGTGTGCAAAGGCTTGTTTCTAAGGACCTTGAGCAAGTAAATCAACTCCCTGGGTCTCAGTTTTACTCTTGTGTAAATGGAGTCAATATACTTGTGCTTTGAAAATGGAAAAACCTACCCCCACTCCCAGAGGTTAAATAAACGCCAGATGGGTTGCACCGACTATGGTCTGAACTAGGGGAAACGCTGGGAGTAGAGTAGGGGTGGCGGGAACAGTGACGGGGAAGCTTACGCGGGCGGGGAGGAAGGGCCCAGCGGTTGTGCTGGGAATAGAGATTTAAAGGGTATGCGGGGCTGGGAGAGGGTGGGAGCTCTGTCTGTCGTCCAGGTGCAGGTCTTGGTAAATCATTGCAGAACTGTTCTAGGGTTCCCGGTGGCGGCTGGGCGCGGGTGCAGCCTAGGAGAGGCGGGTGCGCCAGCTCCCTGTGGGGTTCCTGCCAGGGTCGACCGGGAGGGGGCGCCACTCACCCAGATGAGCCACGCGGCTGAGGCGGGGGTCGAAGCCGACCTCGCGCACCTTGTCAGTCCGCGCCAGGAAGAAGTTAACCACGCCGTCGGTAACCACGCAGCCTGGGAAGCCGACGAGCTCATGGTGGAAGCCGCGCCTTTGCCGGAGGCAGTTCCCGAGGCCTGGGGCGCCGGGCTCCACGCTCAGCAGCTGCCGGTAAGTGGTGGCGAAGCCGGAGATCTCGCGCACCGCGCCCCCCACCTGCAGGGAGAGGGAGGCTGGCTCCAGGCAGCCGGGGATCGGGCACCCGAAGGGGGCAAGGTCTGCGCTCCGGTGCCTTCGGGGGTACCCCTGCCCCATCCTCTTCCGCTTCACCCCTGCAAGACCCAGCCAGTCCCCAGGCCCCACTTCGTGGTCCTCTCTCTGTCCCAGGGCTCGCCGTTCCTGGCCACAGCGTCCCCGCTGTGGCCTTAGCCTGTTCAAGGCCCTTCTCCACCCCCACATCCTACGGCGCCTGCCCTACCAGGTCCAGGGGCGTCCGCTCCAGCACGTCCACAAGCCTCTCCAGCCGCGTCCGCGCGGTGAAGACGAAGTCGTCGTCCACCCACAGCACGTACTTGGTGGTTACTTGGGACACCGCCAGGTTCCGGCCTGCGAACCAGCCCTGGCGGAAAGGTGTGTGTGGTTGGGGAGGCTGCAGAAATAGGACATGGCCCTCTGCCACCTTTCTTTCTCTCCCCCGACCCTTCTCAGCTTGTATTCTTCTCCAGACTTTTGAGTGCTTTCGAATTGCCAGAAGCTAGGTAAAAAAAAATGCAGATCCCCCACAGAGGTTCCAAGTCAGTGGTCTCGGAATGCGTTTAATTTCTGTGTGCATTTATTTATTCATTCATCAGCTATTTTATTGAATGCCATTATGCACTAAGCACCATTCTAAGAATGCAGAGAGAATTTCCTGCTCCCACGAAGCTTACATTCCAGGAATCCTCATGCTTAACAGGCACCCCATGATTCTGAGGCAGGTGGTCCTCGAATCACTACCCTGGAGGCTGCAGATTGAGGGCGCACCCACTGCGGGAGTCCTCTGGCCTGCCGTTCAGCCTGCTAGCTGCACACCTTGCCGAAGGGCATGAGATAGTGTTCCACGTAGGGGCCACTAACGCGCTCTGGCTTGTCGCTGTCGTCGGCGATGACCACGGTAACCGTTGGGTAGAAGCGGCGGATACTGGTGATGAGAGCCCGTAGCCGATCATAACGGAGGAAGGTCTTGGTGGCAATCGTGACTAGAGCGCTGATGTTGTACTGGGCTGAGATTGAGGGCACAGGGTTGGGTGCAGACAAGGCGAGTTGGGAGAGGGGAACAGGTAGATATCCCCTCCCAGGACTGCCCTCTCTCTACTTGCTCCCCACCAACGCTGGATCTAGTATGTCCCTGCCCCTACCAGCCTCACCTCCCTGGGGTGGAGACCCAGGTGGGTACAGCCGAGGGTTGGGTGGGTGTCTTATGCGGATGGTGAAAGCAGCCTCATGTCCCTCAGTGGAGAACCGGACTGGGAAGAAAGCACATGGCGTTTGACCCTGAAGGGTGGGGCAACATTCTGTTTTCAGCCAATCAATATTTAAGTGCCTACTCTGTGTCCCACCTTTCTAGGCCTTGGTGGAAAAAAACACAAGGTTCATACCTTCATGGAACTTACATTCTAATGGGTAGGAGAAAAACAATAAAGAAAATTTTAAGTAAAAGCTAACCTTTATTGAGCACTTACTATGTGCCAGACCTGTTAAAAATTACCTTAAATATATGAACTCATTTTATCCTCATGATAGCCCTATTAAGTAGATTCCTACAACAGAAAAAGAAGCTGAGACACAGAAAAGTAACTTGCCACATTTACACAACTATTAAGCAACAAAACTGATAGCAACCTAGTCAGTCTGGTGCCAGGCTAAGTAAATTAAAAAATTCAGATACTGGTAAGTATTGAATGGAAAATAAGACAAATAAGTAATGTAATAGCGAAGAGGAGACATTTGAGCTGAGATCTAAACACCAAGGAGCCAGTCTGCAAAAATCTGGGGAAGAGCATTCCGGGCTGAGAAAACCGCAAGTGCAAAGGCCCTAAGGTCGAAGCAAACTTAGTGCAACAAACCAGCTTTGGGGAGAAGCAGGAGGGCTTTTAGGCCCCTTTTGCTGGAAGAGAAATGGGAACTCAGGAAAGTAAAGGGCTTTGCCCTCTAGTAAGGGGTGGGTTGGAAATATAGTCTTCTAACTCCTTAGACAGGTCTCTTCCTGGGGCCCCCATGGTTGGCCTAAAGGGGAGACACACCCAAAGCTCGGGTTTCCCTCTGGCCTGCTCCAGCCCCAGATGAACAAAGGCCCCTTTTCTCCCTCTCTGGCCCTGCTGCTCCAGTTGAAGCACTCATTGTGTGGCAGGACAGCTCTGGCCATAGACCAGATGCCTCCCATGCCCTCTGCCATTTGCCCACTCCAGCCTTTCTGGTTCTTCTCTGTTTGTCTAGCCTGCCCCTCTCCCCACCCAGGCCTCGCACCTGTGTCTGCTGTGTTGGTCTGGTAGCTTCGGCTGCTGTAAGTGACCAGTTGTAGTTGCCTGTTGAGTTGGTCCAGCCCTCGGCTGACAAGGGTGAGATCTGCCTGCCCCTCTCCAATGAGAGTCACTCCAGTCACTTCCCCTGCCACGTCCCAGGTACCTAGGGAGGCAGTCAGGTTTACCTAGGAGGGGATTGGAGAGTGCAGGGTTAGGCCCCAGACCCAATTCTTGCCTCCCTGATTCGTCCATCCTTCCCTTAGTAGCCCTGCCTCCTTCTCAGCATTCTTGATGCCTACTTGGCCTCCTTGCCTTCCTGTTTTCTCTCACCTGGTATACCTCCTGACCAGAAGCTGCCTGAAGGCTCAGCCCTAGGAGAAAGGAGGCGGGGATCAGAATCACATAGGCAGCCCTGAATTCTTTCTCATTTTCTCTCCCTGCTGTCACCACACACAATAGAGAACTTTCTACCCATTCTTCTTATTGAGGCCTCAGCAGGGCACACTGTAACATAGCCTACAGTGACTGATTTTTGAACCCTTCCCATCAAAGGTTGCCCTATGGCCTGCCCTGCCCACCACCTAACCAATGGTTAGTCAGAAAAGAATAGATTCTTTCCCCCAAAACTCCCCAGTTACAGTCTTCTGAAATTCCTAGAGTCCCTTCCGTCCTCACCTCCCACCTCCTAAGCCCCCTTTTGAGCTTAAGTTCCTTTTTCATCAGAGGTTCCCACCTCCCATTCCAATCATCTCCCATTCTTCCCCACCCAGCCTCGGGCTCTGCCACCCCCACTGTGGCTGAGGTCATCCTCTGGGACCCTCCTCCCTACCTGGCACCAAGATGCTCCTGAGGGGCTGAACTTCCACACCTTGTAGGGGGTACTGGAGCGGGGAGTTGGCAGGGGCTATGAGCAGTTGGTCAGCTGGGGACTGGCTCCTGGCAGTGGAGGAAGGAGAGGACAGAGCAGAGTCAGGGGGAGAGGGGGAGAGGGTCTCTCCCTCCCGGCGCAATCACTGCTCTCCCCCTGTGGAGTCATGCCCTTCTTTCAAGCTGGTACCTTGACAGAAAGGCCTGGAACTCCTGCTCTCTTGTGGCAGAGGCAGCGCTCAGCTCTGCAGGGTCAAAGGCCTTGGTGAGGTCAATGGCTCGGACTTGTTTCTGGAAGGGGAGGGGGAGGCCCCCCCCCACTGGACTCACAACTGCAGTTGTTCCAAGCCAGCAGCCTGAAGGGAGTAGTAAGGGTCATCAGACCCAGCTACACAGCTCCATTCATCCCATAAACACTGACACAGCACCCCACACCTTGGCCCTGAAATTCTGTCCATCTAGGATCCATCCCCTTAGACGTTGCCCTTCAAATAGTACTCGGGAGGGGGACCAAGAATCGGACGACCTAGCCCCTAAATCTGGATTTTAGAGTTGTAGGACAGGGCCAATTACTAGGATTTCAGGAGCTGCCTACCCACCAACCAGCAGCCCACCTGGGGTCTCTTCTCATACCTGAATCAGGACCTCAGGGAGTCTTTCAGGGCCCTCCCTTGACTGCACAACCTCCCACGCCCATCCCCATCCTCATCCCCATGGCAAGGTTCAGGGAGAACAGATTTTCCTCAGCCCAAGCCTCAGCAGCCTCCCACTTCCACCTCCCACTTCACTCCACACAACCCGTTAGGAGAACGCAGGCATCTGAGCCCAGCAGTGGAGGAAACAAAAGCCCCCAGACCACCCCCAGCGAGCGCCGCGCTGCGCCGCCGCGGTCGGCACTCACCTCACTACTTGCTCCTTGATCCTGACCGGGATGTGTGCGTAGCGGGGCTCAGGAGCAAGATCTGGCAGCTCGGGCCTGCGGGGGCTCTGCGGGGGCGCCCACGGCGCAAGAGGTGCCTGGAGGCCGGGCGCGTCCCGGGTGCTCGCGTACAGGAGCCCCAGCGAGGCGCAGGCGACCAGAAGGACCAGCGCGCACAGGGCCCGGCGGCCCAGCCACATCCTAGGTGGGGGTAGGGTGGAAAGTGAGAAAGGGAGGGAAGAAGGGAGGGCAAGGGATGGGGCCCTTGGCCCCCGCGTCCTCAGAGGCTCCTGCCGGCTCCCAAGAGCGCTCTCCACTCCACACATCGCGCTAGGATATGCACTGCCAGCCGCGGTTTTCCCGGTGCCCTTCCCCTCACTTCTCAGGCCCCAGGGTCTCCCGGCCTCCTTTCTTCTCGCCCTCTCCCGCATCTCGGTTTCCTCTCACACCCGAGGCCTGGCATCTTAATGCTGAAGACATTTGGATGCCGCGGTTTCGACGCGGCCGTGCGTGAGCTTTGGAAAAGCCCCGCTCTATTAGGGCAGTGGCAGTCCCGAAGCCCGCAGCCCGCCCCGGCCGGCGCGCCCCCCACTCCTCAATCCGAGCATCACCTGGGCTGGGGTGGGCTGCGGAAGGCGGCTCCACACCTAGCCTGTCAGGAAAAAATGCAGAATCACGCCCGTGCTGGCGGGCGCCCCCGGCGGAGGTGACCCGATGAGTGGCCTCGGGAAGCGGCGCGGGGAACAGGGTGGACCGGGAAGCGCGCCTCCTCCCTCCTCCTGCTCCGCCCCTCATCCCCCCGCCTCGGGCACTGACCTGTCTAATGCTCTAAGGCAGCGGCAAAATTTCGGTCCAGGCTGTGCCGGCTCTCAGCCCCCGCCTGAGGGTCCTCATGGGGCTAGGGGCTGATCGATGGGGGAGCTGGGCGTGAGCCTGAGGGTGTGGGGGACCCTCCTGCCTCTGGAGCGCGCCCGACCCCTCCCGCCTTGGAACTCTCGGGGCTTTTGTGGAGCGCGGCTCGGTGGTGGTTCTGGGCGTTTCCTGCCCGGGGGCGGTTGGCGGGGCGCGAGGACCAAGTTAAGAATCCGTTGCACCCCGGCCCCGGGGGCAAAACCGGGGATCCTTGGCTCCGTGTCCCACTGGCAGCGCGGGGAGGGCTCTGGCGGCCTCCCGGCTCTTCGCACCGCAGCGCCGCGCGGTTAGGCTCCCGGCTGGTTGCGGCTGCTTCGGCTCCGCGCGGGGAATGCGAGCGCCCCGGCGCCTTCTAGTGGGCGCGGAGGAAACTGCGAGGACGAGTAGCAGACGCGGGAAGGTCCTCGCTCACAACCCCCAGCCCTTAGCCTCCAAACCCTGGCATCTCAACCGCCTGCTCCCAAGACCAGCCATTCCGTTGCCTGCTCGTTCTGAGCTTGTAAGGCAAGGATGGGCAAATAAGGGCTTTGGGAGGAGGTAGGGCGGGGGCGTGCTAAAACCCACGTTAAGTTTGAATGTTAGGGTGAAGATAAAAGAAACAACCCCTGGAAAATAAACGCTCTGCCTGGCTAACAAAGACTGATGCACAGCCTCCCTCTCCCCCTCCTCCCCCGCCCTGCCCCCCATTATTTAACAGACACTCAAGAGATACACACTGGGTAATTCAAGGGCCTATTTCCCCGAACTGCCGCTTGGTGCAACCTTGCAGGAGGAAGGGAACCCCAGAGAGGCCAGATTGGCGGTAGTTCTGCCTGGAAGCCTTAGGTCATAGACAGCCTGATACTTCACACTGCTGAGAATCAGAGTTCTGTGGCTTCATGGTTCTAATAAAAGATGCATCAAGATTCAATAGGAAAAAAGGACATAATAAGAAATATAGAACATTATGAAAATATGTGTGTGTGTGTGGTGGATTTTTGAATGAATGAATTTTATACAAATAAATGACTAAAATCAGCTGGGGGAAAAGTGGAATCTCTACCCTTCTTACACCAAAATTCCAAATCTATTAAATATTTTAATATTAAAGGTGAAATCATAAAAGTAGTGAAGAAATCATGAAACTCAGCACAGTGGCTCATGCTTGTAATCCCAGCACTTTGGGAGGTTGAGGAGACAGGAGACCAGGAGTTCAAGACCAGCCTGGGCAACATGGTGAGACCCCTGTCTCTACAAAAAATTTAAAAAATAGCTCAGCAAGGTGGCTCACACCTGTAGTCCAACTACTCAGGAGGTTGAAGTGGGAAGCTTGCTTGAGCCCGGGAAGTTGAAGCTGCAGTGAGCTGAGATGGTGCCATGGCACTGTAGCCTGGGTGAGAGGGCGAGACGGTGTCTCAAAAAAAGAAATTATGGAATTTTTGTTTTGTTTATGGTCTTGGAGTAGGGAAGAGATCTCTAAGCCAGATGTAAAGGGAAATATTAATAAATCTGACTATATGAAAAACGTGAGTGAAGAAATTAACATAAACTAAATTTGAGAGAGAAATGACAAACTGTGAAAAAAATATTTGTGACATGTAAGACAGGTATACTTTATCTAGTTGTTGCTAGTTGGTGCCCCCAGCGGAGATGACCAGGAATGAATTATGAACCATTGAAAACATAGGAATCCATGACTCCACCCTGATAATACATGGATAATTAATTAATTAAATGAACAAAGGAGAAGGGAGAATGCCAATTAATAAATGTGGAGGGAGCTGATGGAGTGAGAAAATAACTATTTTGCATCAGAGTAAAAGTTGGTTTGGGCAAGAATTATCAATGAATGCTAATTCTAGGGGGAAAGTTTGACAGAAGCAGGGTATGTACATAGATTAAAGTATCTCCCCATAGTTGGCTTATTTGTTGCAAGAGGAAAAATTGTAACTGCACAGTGGGAAAACCAGACAGCACCTTGACTTGGTGGCCAAAATTAACATCACCAATGAGGGACAGAAGACTATCATGTGCCTCCAGAAATGCTCCCTTGAGAAAGCATGGCATCATTTACGTAGTGATCTGGCTGGGAATACATAACTTGATTTTAAATACAAAGAAACAGACTCCAAGTAAGGAATATTTTCTATGAATAAAAGAAACTTAGGCTGGGCACGGTGGCTCATGCCTGTAACCCTAGCATTCTGGGAGGCCGAGGTGGGTAGATCACTTGAGGTCAGGAGTTAGAGACCAGTCCGGCCAACATGGTGAAACTCTGTTTCTACCAAAAATACAAAAATTAGCCGGGCATAGTGGTGCGTGCCTGTAATCCCAGCTACTCTGGAGGCTGAGGCAGGAGAATCGCTTGAACCCTGGAACCCAGAGATGGACATTGCAGTGAGCCAAGATTGCACCACTGCACTTCAGCCTGGGTGACAGAGTGAGACCCTGTCACAAGGAAAAAAAAGTAAAAGAAACTTAATACAAAAATTAACTGGGCATAAGCCGGGCATGGTGGCTCACACCTGTAGTCCCAGCTACTTGGGAGGCTGAGGCATGAGCATCACTGGAACTTGGGAGGCAAAGGTTGCAGGGAGCCAATATTTCGCCACTGCACTCCAGTCTGGGTGACAGACTGAGACTCTGACTCAAAAAAAAAAAAAAAAAAAAGTGGCTAGTATTTTTTTAAATGTCGGTCTTGAAAGACAAAGAATGAGGAACTGCTCTGGATTAAAGGAGACTAAAGAGACATGATGACTCAATGCAATATGCGATCCTAGATTAAAAGTGATATAACAGACATTTTGGGGGACTGTTTAAAAAATTTGGGCCAGGTGAGGTGGTTCATCCCTGTAATCTCAGCACTTTGGGAGGCCAAAGTAGGAGGATTGCTTGAGACCAGGCCTTTGAGACCAGTCTGGGCAATATAATGAGATTTCATCTCTACAGAAATTTATTTTTATTTATTTTTTTTTGTAGAAATGGAGTCTTGCTATACTGCCCAAGTTGGTCTCCAACTTCTAGCCTCAAGCAATCCTTCTGCCTGGGCCTCCTAAAGTTTTGGGATCACAGGTGTGAGCCACCTAGCTGGGCTACAAAAACATAAAAAAAAATTAGCCAGGTGTGGTGGCACGTGCTGTAGTACCAGCTACTCATGAGGCTGAGGTGGGAGGATTGCTTGAGCCCAGGAGTTTGAGACTGCAGTGAGCTGTGATTGCACCACTGCACTCCAGTTTGGGTAACAGAGCAAGAACCTATCTTTTCTGTTTTCTAAAAAAACAAATTGGAATATGGAAAGTTGATTAGATAAAAGTTGTTTTATCTCTGTTAAAAGATAAATGGCAAATATTAAATTTCCCAAAGCTGATAACTGTGGGTATACAATAAAATATCCCTGTTCTTAGAGTATATAACCTAAAGTGTTAAAGGGTAAAGTGGGCCGGGCGCAGTGGCTCAAGCCTGTAATCCCAGCACTTTGGGAGGCCGAGACGGGTGGATCACAAGGTCAGGAGATCGAGACCATCCTGGCTAACACGGTGAAACCCCGTCTCTACTAAAAAAATACAAAAAATACTAGCCGGGCGAGGTGGCGAGCGCCTGTAGTCCCAGTTACTCGGGAGGCTGAGGCAGGAGAATGGCGTGAACCTGGGAGGTAGAGCTTGCAGTGAGCCGAGGTCCCGCCACTGCACTCCAGCCTGGGCGACAGAGCAAGACTCCGTCTCAAAAAAAAAAAAAAAAAAAGGGTAAAGTGGAAGGATGTTTGCAATCTACTCTCAAATTGTTCAGAAAAAATAAATAATACGAATATGTATGTGACATATTTACATAATATATATGTGGTATATATAATGTATAATTTGTATTTTATTGTTAATTTAATAATTATTAATTACATTATTTTATTATAAATTATATAAAATTAAGTATAGAGAGAAAATGATAAAATGTGACCAAATGTGAAAAATTGGTGAAGCTGAATAAATGATATGTGGGAGTGCTCTGTATTCTTTAAATATCTAAGTTTGAAATTATTTCAAATTAAAAACTAAAAAGAAAAAAATCACTCCTTTATTTACTTTAGTTGAAAGCGAGTGTTGGCCGGGTGAGGTGGCTTATGCCTATGATCTCAGTGCTTTGGGAGGCAGAGGCGGGCGGATCATCTGAGCTCAGGAGTTCGAGACCAGCCTGGTCAACATGGTGAAGCCCAGTCTCTACTAAAAATACAAAAATTAGCTGGCCATGGTGGTGGGCGTGTGTAATCCCAGCTACTCCAGAGGCTGAGGCAGGAGAACAGCTTGAACCCAGGAGGTGGAGGTTGCAGTGAGCCGAGATCATGCCATTGCACTCCAGCCTGGGTGACAAGAGTGAGACTCCATCTTGAAAACAAACAAACAAGAAAGTGAGTGTCTATTTAATAATTTGGTGACATTACTGAGAAATTGTTTTAGCACATAACTGTCACACTTTCTAAAAATGACAACTAAAGTTTTTTCATAATGAAATATTAATAATAAAACTTTCTAATAGAACTTCATATTAGTTCCTATATCTCAGCATTTCATTCTATGATGGTGATATTTAGCCTCAGCTGAAGACCGAAATACTGATTTTAATTCTCTCTCTTTTTCTCACGTTTTGTAGACATTAAGACTTTTTTTTTTTTTTTTTTTTGAGATTTGAGTCTCTGTTGTCCAGGCTGAGGGGCAGTGGTGTGATCTTGGCTCACTGAACCCTCCGCCTCCTGGACTCAAGCCCGCCTCGGCCTCCAAGCAGTGGAACTACAGGTGCTCACCAACATGCCCAGCTGATTTTTTACTTAGTGTATTTAGTTGTCTTGTCTTTTTGTTTTCTAATCTTTGAGGATATTAAACATACTTACAGTGGGCTCTCTGGGTTCACCTAGTGCAGTTCTGCCACCAGCTGATCAACAATATTTGGAAAAAAATAACAATATAACAATTAAAATAATACAAATTTTAAAGTATAACAACAATTTGCACAGCATTTACATTGTATTAGGTATAAAGAAACTAGAGATGATTTAAAGTATAGAAGAGCATGTACACAGATTGTATATAAAAAATATACCATATCATGTAAGGAACTTAAGTATTCTGGGATTTTGGTACCTACAAGAGTCTTGGAACCAATCCTCTGCAGACAATTGAGAAATGAGGGATGACTATATTTAAAATTTTTTTTCAAGTTGGCCTATTATTTCCATTTACTCTAGAATAAATTCTCTTGTTTATTAAGCTTTTTATCTTTCATGATGTTAATTTTCATGAAGAGCTTTGAAATTTTAGTTTGCTAGCTTGTTTTTTGTATGTGAATTTCTTGCACATGTGTGTATCCTTGTTAGGGTTCATTGTAGATGACAGAAACATTGTGATGACAGGGGTTTATTTCTTGGCATTAAGGGGCTTACAATGTGATTTGGGGGCTTTTTTTATTTTTTATGCCATGGGTGGTAGTGCTTCCCCAGGCTTTTGGAAATATGTGGGGCCATTTTGGGTTGTCATAATAGTTGGGCCAGCTGCCAGCAATTGGTGGGCAGGTGTCAACTGAGCTAAATGTCCTGCGATGAACAGAACAAGCCTGTGCAACAAAGAC